ACACATTTAGCCCGAAAATATGATACCAAATATCTTGTTCTTGATGGTATACGAAAAGAGTTAGTCGTAAGAGAACCTAATCCAATCCTTCCTTTCTTTGTTCACCTTTTTGTTGGCTGTTGTGTGTAGGAGTATGTCCCCTGCCATGAAAGAGTTGCTTCAAAGCTGAGTTGGGAGATAGAGCAGCTTGGCTACCCTCAAAATTGTGATATTTCCAGATGATTTTTTGAAGATGGTGAAGAATTTTTGCAAATGGAGGAGGCTAATATGAAGTATATCTACTATTTCCTGTTTTGTGGAGGAATTGTTCTTTTTTTTGTAAATTTACTCCATTTCAATGTCAATATATGAAGTTTCTACATTTAATTGTTGAAACTTTATATCTTTCAAAGCTGTAAGTATAGGATTCTCTGATGAAATTACCATCTTCAGTGTGGCAACTTATATATATATTTTGTTCCTTTGGGCTGCTTTCATTTCTTTTATTTTCTCTTTACAGATAATTTCAATATATAAACACGTAATTACTTGGCTGAGATTTTAAAAATTATGAATTTTTAAACAGTGATTTTAATGTGAACTATGATATTAATTTTTACAAAATTATTCTCCATCACAATGTTCAATCCCAAACCTCCCTGGCCCACATTGTTTAAAAGTAACTTTTAGTTTAACAGGAAAATTCGAAATTTTCGACCTTCGATTAAGGGATCTTTGCACGTTTGTAGTGATAATCTTGAGAGATATTTAATTTTTTATTTTGATGGTATGTTTAGATTAGGTAGGGAATAAATGATTGAAACTTTAGTTTGTATTTCTTTATATATATAAATTTGTGTGAATCAATGAATTTATAGTCTAGGATAAATAAATTCACTCACATTCTACAAAACTACAGACAGGTCAATTATATTCCCTCTATGAACTAACTCTCAACTACTCACTGACCCACATCACCATTTTCATTATTTTGATCACTCACAGATGAAGTCTGTTCCTTTATATCACCTGGCTTTGGGATGCAAGGCTGTGATTTTCTTCTGAAACCCAGTTTTTTGGGAAGAAGGCTCCAACTTTTCTTCGTCTTAACCAGTTTTTCGAGCTCCATTTTCATGCCTAGACACTCCCGTTCAAGCTCCAAAACTCTATCTTTTACATCATGGTCGCCCCCTTCTTTGTCTTGCTCGGCAGAGTCCATTGGCCGAGAACAATCGTTCTTGGGGAGTCCAAGATTTCCATTCGGATGTTGCGAGTTCTCGAGGTTGTCAGAAACAAAGAACCAACCTGAGATTGATGTGCGGAGGCGAAGCTGCTCGAAGAAAAGGACTTGGACGATTACTCGAAGCGGTAGCCTCTCGTTCTGAGCTGCGTGCGTGCTGGCTTCTAAAGAGAGCTTCTGGCAATTCATCAATCTGCACAGTTGCTCCCTCTCTATATCTGAAAGCCAAGGATGGGCCTGCACAAGTTGCAAGGTTTCAGAACCAAACACCACAGTATATAAATCTATGACCTGTGATTGGATGAGTAACTAATTTAGTAAGCTCTACACTCATATTTCTCATTTGCTAATATCACCATTGATCAGTACTTTTTTTCTATGTTCTGTATCTACCAGCTAAACCAGATTACAGGTTAAGGAAATGAATCTTGAAACCTCAGGATTTCCATATCAGAATCATGATGATCAACTAGATGAAAAAGCAATAGATCACATGCCTGATACAATTGGAGAAAGAAAATCTTACTTTTAGGTACACATCGATGGCATGGTAAATTCCATCATCCAATGGCCTGGCATAATCAGGGATCACAGCAGCAAGTGCCTGAAATTTCGGCAGCTTCAGGTTAACATCGGGAGCGACCTCTGCAAGATATCCATCCACCAGACTTGCCACCATTGTCATCGGAGTCAGCATATCCGTTCCACTGACCAACTGTCCCTCTTCAACTATGCAAGGAGAAGATGCAGTTGCAGAATGGTATGAGGACATGAAATGGTCAAGAATTCTCTGGATGCAGTCTATGTCATAAAGAGTCTCCACTGTATATCCCATGTTGGGTATGAGGAGATCTCCAAGCAGAGCTTGGTCCAATTGACTGCCTATTTTTTTCTCTAAAACTTCCCTACATGATGGACTAGCATGCAATATCATAGCAGTTCTGAGAAGCCTAAGCAGGAAATTGGTGGTGGTGACACCCTTCACATTCGGGAGCAAGCCCACAATCTCCTCGAGTAGGACCCTTTGATCTGCCTCGGAGTTTGTCGAAACGGCCGTTCCTGAGCCAACATGGTTCAAATCATTGAAGCTTAATTGATTGTTTATCAAGGGGATGTTCTTCTTAGTATAATGTATTAATGATGCAGCTATACTCTCCGCCTTCAATCCTTTAGCTTCAACAGACAAAATCAAAAGCTTGTATAGGGGAAATCTAAGAAATGACACATCTTCATACCACCAATCATCACCGGTAGGCTGTGGCTTCGTCGTCGAAGATATCCCATTCCATAGAACGGTTCCTTTGGGGCTTTGGATGTTCTCCTGTCCCCTCACCGGCCAGTTGAACAACTGTGGATCTGCACAAGCTTTGACAGCCAAGGAATCGATACATCTCGACACGATATGAACCTCCTCTGCATATGATCCTACTTCTTCACAAGTCTCAAGAGCTTTTATGGTATCCGTCCAGTTGCCAAAGACTTCGTTAAGGAAAATCTCTGTTTGAGTAACTAAGTTCCCTTCTCCATAGGCTTCAGTCATTTGCAGGTACTCTGCTGCACATCTAAGGCTGACTATGTTTAAAGAAGTGAGCTCTATTTTCACACCATAGCAGAATTTAGCAATGAGTTCAAAAGCTTTAGCTCCACCAGGAATATCATGAAGTTGCAGGACACAACCGGATCCATCCTCACTGGGAAGCTGCTCTATAAGCTTCTCTAGAAACCCACTTTTAGAAAGCAAAGGAAACTGCAGTAAATGCCATAAATGGAGATTAAGAAACTATAAATCCTTCACCATGAAACTTGCAATCCGATCAAACCAAAGATAGAAAGAGAGACATAAAACTGAAACAAAACCAAAACAAACGGACCTTATGAAGATGGAAAGACATATCTCCAATTTCCACCGCCACATCGCTGGGCAGCCCACTGGAGCAAATCCTGAGGGAAAAAGAGAGAATCGAATCGAATCGAATCAAATCAAATCAAATCAAATCTAATCAATAGAAAAAGGGTAACCCAGATGCTAAATTTGAATGAAGATGAGAAAAAAGGGGGTACCAGGTCTGGCCTTCGCGATGGAATGCTTCGGATTTGATGCCCAGTTTCATAGTTGCCATGATGGTGAGAAGATGAAGAAAAATGGGGAAAATGGGAGAGAAAGAGAAGGAGAGGAGGGATTGTAAGAAAATGGGAGAGATTGAGAATAGCCATGACAATTCCTTGATAAGCGTAAAGTGAAAATGGAGGTCGCGATTCTTAAGCAAGAACTAAAAGAGTGAAAATGGAGAGCAGAGCGCTTCCAATGCCGATTTCTTACATATTTCCGCTTTTTCAGACTCGTCTCCATTTTTGTAAATAAATAAAATATATATAGATTTTTTTTTTTTGAGAATATTTGTTTTTTTTCTTTGTGTTTTTTTGTATTCTTTTAACTTGAATGTTTTATTTGTTTATTATTATTGTTAAACGTTGCTTAAATGTATTTCGTATGAAACTTAATATATTAAATTTTTCTTTAAATAAAACATACCAAATTTTATTTTATGAACTATCATTCACTAGACTCTACCAATCGATCTCTCCAAACCAGTTATATAAAATATTTAAAAAAAAAATTAAAATTTTAAAAGAAAAATGGTTGAGAAGACATGAAACTTATCCAAAATTAAAAAATGATCTACCATTATACAATGTAGGTTTAAGAGACATATTCCACTGTTTTATTATTTGCCTGATTTTTTTATCCAATTTATTTTGTTTTTGTTTTCTTTCTTTTTACTTTTTTAAGGATTTTTTTTTCTTTTAAATGGGATGCATCTATGTTTTATTTTATTTTTATTTTTATTATCTTTTTTTAAACTTTACCTAAATACATCTCTTAAAAATAGTTTTGCAGCTAATGCAATCAATTTTTTTAAAATACAATATAAGACTGTATAAAACCAGTTTTTAAAAATATAGTTTACCTTTACAAAATATATATATATATATATATATATATAGTTTACCATGTATTTTTCAGATAAGTTGTACACCCCCACAAAGTAAATCTCAAAATTTTTAAAAATATTTTTTAAAAAAACTAAAATTTTAAAATAAATATTATCATATTATAAGAAAAACATTTAACTTTAACAGTTGAGAAGACTTTAATTGTTCTTGATTGCTATTTTTCTTGTTATTATTATAAAAATCACATTAATATTTTAATATTTGTTTGAAATATTTGATAAGTTTCAAGTAACATTATTTTTTTAACGATAATGTTTACAATAACATTTTAGTTTTGTACAATTTTAATTATTTTGAGGAGAATGATTCAATAAGGTCTACAAATTATTTGAAAGATAGATCATAAAATAAAATTAATTAATTATATTATTTTCTTTTTTAAACATAGATGCAGTTGAAAGAATAAAAACCTATCTCGAAACAAAGAAAAAAGAAAACAAAACGAATGCAGTGAGGCAAATTAAAAAATTAAAATTAAAAGAAAAATCTATTACCTGGTTTTCATAAATACTTTTAAAAGAACTTGTTTTTTCTAATTTTTTTTTCTTTCTAAAAAGGTCTACTGTTTCGAAAAGTCCGCCTGCGGTGACCATGGTGGAGCTGGCTTTCATCGAGATTTACGACATGTCGGCTTTAAATCCTGAATAATTTTAGGCTAAATTGCGAAAAAAAAAAAAAAAAGAAGTTGGCGACTTTTCATTAACATTTAAAAAACAATAAATATTTTGAAAAAAAAATGTTAATGTGACATAATCTGACTCAGACTAGTTAACCACACATACATCCTCATTTCTTTATTGTCTATTGTGTGTTTCGATTCTAAAAAGTAGTAACTATATTGAATAATCAATGGAACGATTATGTTTCACTATTGCCACTTTTACGATGGTTACACATATAGATTAAAACGAATAATATCATTTTCATACATTTAATAATCTATTGTGGTAATCACATCGAACATACTTGCTATCCATCTTAAATCGAACCTTCTCACCTTCACTTGGAAGGTTAATTTGGCAATATATTATTTTAAAAATTAATAAAAATGGTCAATATGAGTAGTGTCTACCCCTCTTGAAGCAGGAGATATAATTCTCCAACCCACATTGGTTATAAATTATAATCACAAAAGAAATATTTATAAACTATAATTATAACCATTAGTTATAATGGCTTGAAACTAGATTTACCCAACAAAACTCATGATTACAAAATAATCTAGTGAATAAAATCATGGAAATAAATGAAGATATGGGAGTTTCCAGAATTGTCCTTCGTTGAAATATAATATCAACTCTTAACTGTTAATATATTCTAATCAACAATACAAGTTCAAAATCATTCCCACACCCTATTTGCATAGATTTCAAATGAATTCTTGGATCATTTGGATTCTAAACTCAGAACAAAAGAGTAATACCCAAGTTCCATTTTTCTAAAAAGGTAAAAACAGTAAACACTGCTGTACGGGCTAAACTTCTACACAGCACTTAATTCATTAAAACAGGGTTACAGGTTCATTACCTTTTTCTCATTGCTTTGCTTGCGCCTAAAAGTGGGGAGTGATAATGCAGCTCAATATTTTTGCTTCCTCTACCAAAGATTCCCATGCCAGTTGAAACTTGATGAGAATCTGACTACCAATCCATTCCTCAGAATTGAAATATGAGAACCAGCCAAAGCCTTGAACTCACACCAGAATCACTGTCTTTCCCTGAGGTTTGTTCAGTTGGAAAAGCAAGAGAGAGTCAACGATTTCTCATGGAGATTGCAGAAACTCCTCTCCTCCAAAGTCCAGTCCAGACCAAACCTTTCATTGTTTGCAGACAACAAAGAGAAACCTACAAAAGCAAAAAATAAAAAATAAAAACCCGCAATGACTGTTTTAGACTAGTACTTCCCATCACAATCCACAACCAGCAAATTTAGTTCAAGACATCTTACTATTCGAATTTGATGTTAGTATTCTTTGGGGTGTTTGTTGACTAGCTCTATTGAGAGCCACACTGCAACTTCTCAGTCTCTAGCTTTCGTTTTAAGACATCCACTTGTTCACGGAGAACAATATTTTCCTGAAAATTTTGATATGGGAGAAAACCATGCACATACCAGGCCGAAATTTCAGTTTTGGACTCAAAGTGAAACAATTTCTTAGAATGGATAAAATGCAGATCTTCTCAAGTCGTTACTTGGTTTATCGAAGGAAAGATTAAAGTGAGAGCTTATTACTTAGTTACATACTCAGAAACCATAAGTTATATGGGGAAGTTACCTCTTGCATCTTCTTCAACTTCTGATTGATTCTAGTAGCATCCCCCACCTTCTCAAAAGATTCATTAAGCTGCCAAGTAGAATTGTACTTGATCAGTGGTCAAATTGAAAGACATACGACTTACTACTCTTCTGAGAGAACGCATGCCACTTATGGAGTTTGTTAAATCATCAGTACATCTCTAAATTCAAATGTTTATTCTAGTTGATTGAGATAATATTTAGTCCTTTGCATATATTTTTAACACTCCTCTCCTCTCATAGATTCAGATATTAGTATGAGATCCAACAAGTAACTATCAATATAAATTGGGAAGGAAATCACCTTTACAAGGTTTGAACACAAGACTTCATGTTCTAATATCATGTTTGATTTACTTCAAACCCAAAAGAACAACATCGTATCACGCCAAATAAGAGACCAACAATATTGGTAAGAATTCATCGTTCATACTGCCAAGAAAATAACAGACAGTTCCTCGTTCAATAAAAAAGCGTTCCTCATACTCTGCGTTTAGCAAGTTATTTGCCGTGTGGCAATGAAAGATGTTTTGAATCTTTTGATTGGTAAGCCGTAAATCGTAGGAGCAGGGCAGCAAAAAGGATAGACAAAATTCAAGCATACGCCCAAGCAATTGCACAAATATAATCTCAATGTCAATGCAATGAGGAAAAAACTCCTTTGAATTCGTCTATTTTCGTGATAACTTAACCCTAGAGATACTGACCTTCTTGAGCTCACTATTACATTTATTTGCTATATCAAGTTGATTGTCGTACAAACGACGCCATTCTGCAGATTCGTCCATCGCCTCCCTGTTCGCGAGGTCGAATTGCCTCCTACACAATTTCATAAGGAGAAATATCAGTTGCCATTGCCAATCCAACCGATAATCTCACTGCATTTTACATTTCAAGTTCCGAGTAGGCAGATTCAGGTGACTTGAAACAATTTAGGATAACTTCACACAAATTTCCGTAATAAGGACCTAAAAACTGATGGAAAAGGAAAATCCAGACCTAAGCAGTTCGGATTCGTCAGAGGACATGGAGTAGTCGATGGTCCAAAGCCTCATGTACACCGCGAACCCGAAGAACATCGCCACCGCCAGACCAATCAAGATTCTCTTCCGATCTCTCCCCATGAGCCCTCTCTCCGTCTTTCTGAGCGTATCGCCGCTGCCAATGGCCGATGAAATGGACGGCGACAAACTCGAGGTGGATGCCGGCGGGAAAGTCCCTCTGGAAACGGAGATTATCGCGCGGTTAGCCCATTATGATGAGGCCCACTATCTCTGGGAACCAAGCAAAGTTACGATCTCGGCCCATTAAGGCCCAGTTTTCAATATTATTCCATCATTAAAATACTATTTCGATGCTTTTTAGTTCATTTTGGTTTTCTATTTTAACTATAGTTCATTTCAATTCTTTTGGTTTTAGAATTTTTTGTTGTACCTGTTTGAATTTTTAAAAGTGACTATTTTGTTTTATTTTCTAAATTTTAATACAAATTGTACACATCACGGAAACCATTTAATATAAAATTATTCTTACATTTCAAGAAATATATAGTGTAGTGTCGTGTTGAAGTTTGTGATGGATAAAAATGTGATTAAAAATAAAATTAAGGGACAAAAATAGCCACTTTTAAAAATACAGACATCAAAATGAACATTTTTTAAGTATAATAACTAAAATGAACCAAATTTGAAAAAGTTTGAAGTATAGGGGCAAAATGGTATTTTCACGTATCTTATAACATTAGTTATTTTTTAAATTTAATATGTTAATATAATTATTTTAAAAAATAGTTTTCCAATCAAAGTTATTAGGAACAAAACCTCCCAATTTTCACTATATGATATTGTCTATTTTTTACTTGAATTTCATAGTTTTACTTTTGGTTTCGCCTAAACCATATAAAGATATTGTTTCTCATTCGTATACCATGAATTTTAATTTTTTTCTAGTCAACACAACCATTGATTACATTCACAATAGAAATATTTAAAAATATCTACGATCAATTATTAATATGAAATATAAAAATAGATTCAAACTCTGTGTTGATCATTGTATTACTCAATCTAAATCTCGATAATAGAAATCCATAGTATAAGCTACACAACATCGATTAAAAAATATAAATATATATAGCAATTTATTAGGTAGCTAATCAACTCCAACCCTTTTTTTATTATTTTAAGTAATTTTACAAATTCTCACCAACTTTTTTTTCTTTTTTCTTTTCTTTAACTACGGGATAGATATGATTCCTTTAAAAAATTGCCTTTACCTTTGATTTGGATTGTGCTATTATTTTCCCTTTTTTTCTTTTTCTTTTCAAACTTTTTTACTATATTTAATAAATGATATTATGGTTTAAATAAATGGTACAGATTAATTTCTTGGGTTGATGTCAAACGTTCAAATTTTAAAAAATATATATATATAGTTAAGATTCAAATCTTCGATCTTCAACAGAGTTACCAATTTCTTAATCAATTAAATTTTTTTAGGGGACAATTTAAAAAGAAAAATATAAAAGATAATTAGGTGGGCAAATCAAAAAATTTTTAAAAACTATTATATTCTCTTCAAACAACATATTGGAAAATTTGCGTGTAGTGATTAAATTATTAAAAGAATCACTATCAAACATTATCAAATATGCCCCACGCCCAATCTCTATTGCATTTTCAACCAACTTTATCGTTTTTCTCATAGTCATAAAGTTTTTATATATACTATGATGTGACTTATAATGCATATGCATGTACAATCTCGATTATTCACGACCACATAATAGAAGAACAACAATCTAAATTGAACAATTTCAAAAACGTTTCGAGGGACGCCTTTAATACAAATTCACAGTCAATTGTCTCCACGGTTGCATCACTGACCAACCGTGCCAATTCATGCACCACCAAATTATTTATTAATTCTTACCACCAAATTATTTACTAATTCTTACTCTGGTTATGACCCGATTCAATTATGTTCATGCTCTTTAGTCAAATTAATTGCTGAAAATGAATATTTAACTTAATTCCTGAGATTAATGTATGTGTTTTGATTAAATAACTGTTTTTACCATAAAAGTTCGATTAAAAACAATAAGATCTCACATTAACACTCAAATATGGATTTTGCAAANAAAAAAAAAAGTTAACACTTTGAAGGTTTTGTCAGTACATAATGCGAGTTAATCTCCAGTAGAACTCTATTCAAGTTTGCGTACCTTTTCCTTTCTATTTAATGGTATTTATAAGGAATTTAGATAACCATTGGTGTAGAGAATTCAAATCCACGGTTATCTCCGACATTTCAAGCGTGAAGTACGCATGGGGGGAGGAGGGGGAGTACGATTGCACAGTTATCCGTTCGAACTCGAATTGGGTTTAGAGATAAACGGTTGAGTTCGGTAATTTCATCGCACCGAATTGGTTTCCGAATTCTCACCTTACAAGGTTCGTACACGTGACTTGTTGATCGAACTGTCAATGACATGTTCCTCAGACAAGATTTCGCCTCTATCAAACATATACTTTCTTCACGTAATAGTAAAACACTGGTCTATTTCTCTAAATTTTCGACCGACACAATATAATGTTTCGAATTCTGAATTACTTTTATTGACAATAGACTTTTTACCTGTAAAGAAAAATTTTTCAAAAATAAAATAAACGAATAACCACATATTCAAGGTTTGTTTTATAATGTAGATTCATTGAATCCATTTTTTACTTTTTTGAAAAAAAATGTATTTGCCAATTATTCTCGTTATCCTTCTTTTTTACTTTTTCCCCACTTTTTACTGTCTTGGATTGCTTTTCCCGTGTCTCAAATCTGTATACGGATTCTTATTCGGGGCAGGAGTATCTTATTCCACTAGTAGAATAATATTCTGGCTGCTTCCAATCGCGGACCATTTTCCATGGCCCCTCTATTTATATATATTTTTTATATTAATTTGGTGCCAAAATTTCAAATTTCACCGACAATAAGGACAATTGAGGCTCCACTCTCGAGACAGAAAAAAAAATGTGAGAATAAAGAGTACGCGTGGGTTACAACTTTAAAAATTATATTTGAAAATTATAACAAAAAAAATTATATATATATATATATATATTTATTTATTTAAAAAGATATTTTTGTTTTTAGGTTAAAATATGTTTATAGTTCAACTACTTTCGAATATTTAAATTTAGTTAATATATTTTCAATAAATTTTAAAATTAGTATACGTTGTTAGTTTGAAATTAATTTTTATCTGATTTGGTAAAAACAGAGTAATAACTTTTGTTTAGACTAGATGGGAATATGTTATCGATAAAACTTACTTGAAATAAGGCATAATTTTGAACTCTAAATTTTTTATTTTCATAGAAAAGTGGGTTATAGAGATAAAATATTCATTATATTACATCAGACCAAAATTAGATTGAAAAGAGCCAGCCAAACAATAATGTTTGATATGATTTACTTTCATCGTAACTTCATATACCAAAATTTGGTCTTTTGACCACTAAAAATATTTAGTTTTTTTTTTTGGTTCGTAGGTTAACTCAAAGGTAGATGGCAAAAAAAAAAAACGTCATTTTTTCACGTATGTGTTAAGGATACCTGTTAAAAAGGTGAAATGTATAAACAGAGATTTGCCAACATCTAATTTGTACCTACTGAATATTAAAGTACTATCGATCTAGTCCAAATTCGTGTTGGGACCCGAGATATAAAATGGAGGTACAACGACCTTTTTACCTTTAAGTCGTAGGTTTTTTCTCTTATTTTGAGGTAAAATTGGATATTTTTAATAATTTGAACATGTTATCCTTGACAGCGTTTATCCACGTATACCAGGTTTACATTCTTTTTTAGAAACAATATGAAACAAAATAGGAGACGGTGGAATTAATTTTTAATCGAATATTTTTTATGTGATTGTGCTGTATTTTAAAATTAACAAATATACGAAAAATACAATAATACAATATGTAGTTCAATGAGAGAACATATTAATTGGAGATTTGACAAATGGTTTGACCATTGAAATATCATAAATTTCAAAGACTGGAACTTTCAAATTCTTCCATAATAATAACAATAATGATTGACAAAACAAAACCGAGTTAATTTAATTTATCTATAGTATGAACTAAAATATTTTTACCACCATCAATATTTTAAAAAACCACTTAATTTATTTTTTTACACACTTGTTTCGGGTATATATATGTATTGGTTCAATAATTGTGGAGGGAAGATGACTAATATATTAAAGCACTATTTAAATTTACGATATTCAATTTCTAAGTCTACATTAAATATTAAAATAACTCTATAATATTTGACTTATATACCCTCATTCATTATTATTATTATTTTAACAGACAATCAATTTTTATTTAAAGATGGAAGGTAGTCAATTTCCATCTAACTTAATTGCAAACACTGCGATAAGTTGTAAATATTATAGTGCTCCCTAAATTACTTTATTTTTGTCCTGGAATTTTTAATATTCTATTTTAGTTAGGATGAAAAATTATTAATCCTCATCACCATTCATGTAATAAAGTTATTAAAATGACATAAACATGTTTTATAACTTTTTTAAATAAATAAATATTTTATTTATACGAATAAATATGTAAAAATCACATGTATATTTGGTTAGTGATGGTCTAAAGAGATTTAGATTCTTGTTAAATAATTGATAAGAAAAATTAATAGTAACAATTAAAGTGTACTAAAAAAAAGTAATAATTAAATTAAAGTGATTTTTATATAGAGTTTAGAGAAGAAAACAAAATATTTAAAACTCTGTTCACATGAACAAATATGAAAGTTTCTATATTAAAGTAGGATTTAAATATTGAACTTATTTAAATTTGTTTATTGATTATTTATTTTAAAAAAATATTTATTAGTTTGAGTTAGTTGGGGAGCAGGGAGGAGGTTGGAAGAAATCAAGCAGCGCCGTTGGATAATATAATTCCGCTTCTCTAATTGTTTTTTCCTTTTTTTTTTTTGTTTTGTTTTGTTTTTTTTGTTTTGACCTGTTTTACATTTTCTATAAATAACTATAACAAAAGATATGTATTTTTTTATGGAAAATAAATTTCAAACTAGTTCTAGGTTGTACTATCATTTTTGAAGTTAATTCACTTTAAATGTTTAAAAATAAATAAAAATATATATTATAGGAGAGTTTACGTTTTAACATTTTTTTAACATCATCAAATA